GGCAAGTACGCCCTGTCCATGCGGACCAAGATGAGAGCCTTCCTCGTGGCCGCAAAGGTCGCGGACTGCGAGGCCTGGGAGACGGTCACTGAGGAGGAGATCGCCGAGGCCGACGAAGAGGCCAAAATCAAGAGCCGCCCAGGCGTGCCGGGGAGACACAGAGGTGATCTGGGCCCAGGCACCGCAGACCACGGCGCTGAAGAGGCGCTTCTCCCTGAGCCAGTCGCTCGTGCACAACGCCCGTGAGCGGATGAGGAGGCCAAGGCCATGCCATCCAGGCTGGGCGAGATCTTCCTCACAGGGCATTTGAAGAACGGCACAGCCCTGTGTCCGGACTTCAACACGGGGGAGTGCCGCCAGGACCCGTGCGCAAGGGAGCACTTGTGCGCGATGTTGCAGCAGACGGGCAGGGCATGCGGAGGGCGCCACCCGGCCAGCGAGTGCCGAGCAAAGCGGCGGATGACCGAGGCTAAGCTTCGCGAGCTGGGGCTGCCCGTGCCGGCTGACCCTGTGGAGGTGGGAGCAACCCACCCTGCACGGGGCGCCATTGGAGGCACCGGCCAAGAAGCGCCGAAGAATCTTGCCCCCGCCACTGCCAATCGCCCCGGCCGGGCCCATGCTTCGTCAGGCTGCAGCAGCCGACCATGTTGTGGACGTTGAGGATGCGGAGATCGGTGAGGTTCCCGCCTTGGTGGATACCAGGCGCCCAGCAGAGCCGAGGTCCCGGGCAACTTCTTGGAGATCCCGGAGTGCTTGGGCCTGAACCCGGCTGACAGCAAATGGAACCGTGAGGGGGAAGTCAGCACAGATCCCATCGCTGATCTACAACAACGTGAAAGGAGGAGCCCTCTTCTTGGTGGGCATCCCCACGGCGGTCACGGCGGCAGCCTTCCCAGCATGCAGCCTCCAGGTGGTTTGCTTCCCGGAGAGGCTGGGCCGGCGGAGGGTCGATGGCCCCACCGGCGTCACTTGCCAGGGATCCACCTCCACCACTGCCGCAGCTGCTGGGAGAAGGTGGGCTTGCTGCTCCACCCGCACCCGCGCCCATTCAGCGGCTACGAAGTGGCCACCCACGCGGACGGCATCCTCGAAGGCCTCAAAGGCGAAGCCGAAGTCGGAGTCCTGCATCAGACCGTGCTTCTGTCGAAAGGCGCGAACGTTGGCCTCCTGGACACGAGACATGAGCCCCTTGCCAGAGCCGCCCGGGTCGCCCCCGGAGTGCTCCATGGCTTCAGTGGCATGGCGCCCAGGAGTGGCGTCACCGCGAAACCGCCATGGCAAGGAGCAGCACCCCTCAGCATAGAGCCTTGGCAGCAACGGATGGGGCAGGCTTCACATTGGTGGATGCCGCATGATGCGCAAACAGAATGAGCCCTGCTGCCGCAGTAGGCGCAAAACCCGCCCAAAGGGAGGTTTCCTCCTCCCTTCGTCCAGCCACCCACGGAGAAGCCTCCCCGCTGTGGCTTTGGCCAGGGCACCCTCGCTCGGTCCAACTCCGAGACCCCAAACTCCATCTCCTCCAGGTCCCCATGAAGCCCAGGATACGAAGGGGAGGTCTCCCGATTCCACCCATCCAGCAATGGCGGAGACGCACATCGGGATGATGTCCTGGGCACGGAGGCCACTGCCTGCTTCAGCCCCCATGGCCTCTGACAGGCGATCCTCCTCATAGCACCCATGATAGGCGGCCCAGGCCTCCTCTGCAGACGCACCTTCTTGAACCAACTTGAAGCCGCCAAGAGACACGTCACATCTTGCACACTGGGGTATCTCCCCACTATCAACCAAGGGCAGGGGTGCTTGCATGAAGGGGGCATGCAACACTTCCACAGCCGAAAGCCAGAGCAGCCGGGCCTGGCCATGATTCCCCTGCTCCAGCAGAGTGCCCACATGGCGCTTGAAGTCGATGTAGGCGCCTGCAGACAACAGCCAGCGGCCGATCCGTGTGGACGGCCAAGTCAACTCCTGACTGCCAACATTCGACAAGTAACCCTTGCCGAACACGCAAAACCAGAAGTTAAAATTTAGCCAGTTTGGATCATACTTGAGCCAAAAGGCCCCGCATGATCCAATACACTCCTTGCAGAATGAAGCCTGTAAACCCAAGCCTTCCAACCTGATACAGGATTACAAACATTTCGAGCCTCTCGCCTTCCGCGCCGCAAAACGCACATTTTGCAAAGAAATTGACAGTTTCTGACCACGTCCAGGACTTGCATGCGCTGCACAGCACTGCGCCGCAGCTCGCGGGACGCGCGGGCGCAGTTCGGTCACAGCCGCCTCGGCGCGCGGGGCGCGGGGCTCCTCGCACCGCCCGGTGCGCGTGAAGCCACAGGCGGCCCATGATGCGTTCAGAGAACTCGGAGGGCATGGTGAGAATTGCTTTGCATATATCGATTAAAAAAATAGTCAGTGGTCGGACAAACGAGGCTTGTTTTTTTCTGTCCGGGATTCTGTGCGTGCCCATCTACCGCATCAGCGCGTCGGCGGCGCCGCCCTG